CCCCCCCCCCCCCCCCAGCCATGAACAAGGCAGGTGACTAAACTCAGCACAGTCCTGAGTGGCTCCCCTGAGGCTAAGATGGCGGGAGGTGGCAGTGGGGGGCCAAGATGGCGGGGGGGGGAGGGGGCGCCTCACCACCACCCCCCATCGAGAGACTAAGGAAACCAGGGCAGGAAAGCTCGTGAGGGCCTATTTAAAGCTTCCTTGGCAGCGCTGAGAACAAAAACAGGCAAATACGCCCTGAGATGCTGCCTCTTCCCCTGACGAGAAGGGCCGCTTTGCCCCTCTCCCCGCCTCTGCGGGACTGGCGTGTTGCCCCATCCCCCTAGGCGGCCCCGGGGCGGGGCTAACGCGGAGACCCCGCCTCGCGCTGGGGAAGGGGCGGAGTCAGTCTGGATCGACGCGGCTCTTCCGTAAACACCACCCAGCCCTTCTCCCCGGCCTTCCCCCCCTGGCAGGGCCCATTCAGCGCGGGGGAGTCCGCGGAAGCGTCTTCCCCCCCCGTCAGCTCATACTTTTCCCCGCTTAGTGCTCAGGCCCGGGCAGAATGAGGAGACAGAAACTGTTTCTGCGGGGATAGGCGCGGGTTGACCCAAGTCCCTCGGGCTAACTCGCCGTTGGCAGGCAGGAAAACGTTGCGCGCCCCCCCTGTCACCGGCAGAGATGGACGCGCCCAAGGAAGACACTAATAGTCCAGGCTGGGTCTATAAATCCGGGGGGGCTGTGTAAAGCCCCGGCGAGCGCCGCGCAGGAGGGCGAGCTGCTGCTGCCGCCGCCGCCAGGCCGCGGTGAGTGACCGGGGAGAGCAGGGGCAGGGCTGCGGCCGAGCCGAGCCGTCCGACGGCGGTACCGTACCGCACGGCACACGCCTGGGTGTCCGGGCACGTACAAGGCGATGAACTGCGGGGTGAGTCCGGGTCAGAGCTGGCCCGGGAGCTGCTGCTTTCCCGTGCGGTGGGGGTGGCTGCGAGGTGGCGGGCTGGCGCTCCGCTCTGTTGCCTTGGTGGGGCTCCCGCTGCAGCAGGTGGGTTTCGCAGCCCCTACTCTGGGTCTGCAGAGCACCCCTTGTCCCGTGCCTCCCTGGCTGTCTCTGTCTCTTAATGCCCGCTGTCCGCCGGG